GATTTTACTAACAATGTGTAAAATAAGGAATAAGTGGGAAGGGAGTAAGTGGTATTAAATGCGCGACTAATACCAGGAGGTCGGACCTTTAATTTATTTTGTGGTACACTTCATGAAAGAAGGTCGGTCCTCCCAACCATATTTTTCATCCAGATTCCCTTGTTGAGGAGCTCAATACGGGTTTGAAGGCATTCGTAGAAATAGCAAGTTTTCCAAAGTGTTATGGTGAGAGCTGTCTGCTAGCCAGAATTTTAAACAAAAATTTACGTCAATGTTTGCGTCCCGATTCGCGAACATGAGAAAAAACGATAACTAAACTTGACCTTGAGGAACTCACCAACCAATCGCAGCAGACTTAACGTGTGCAAATACGATTCGCAGACATGTGGCCTGACTTTCTAAGAAAAGGCTACAAAGAGATAACAGAATAAGCTTCAGCAAGAAAAAGACCGATCAGACGACGTTGCTTCTCTGCTAACAATAATGAATAATAATGTGCGTAAAAATCTATAAATATCTGTTGATTTCCCGAGTAAACGATCTGTTGCCTGGCCTTTGTCTTCTGTTGTAACAGTGTTTTATCGATGCGAACAATGACAACTGTGTTTCAAGGTGTCTAACAGTAATACCAGGAAACAGGTAAAATACTGCAGTACAAACGCTGCAGCATTATTTGAGCGGATTAAAACATCTTTATGATGGCTGCGACATGTGCACGTACAATCACTTCTTTTAGCGAAACACGTGCTAACATACGACTGATACAGGTGTAATGCAATCAGAATGGAATTTCTACCTCTCAATCAGAAGCAAACCTATTTGCAGCAGTGGGTCAGACGCTCTCATATAGTTTTAAGCGCAGCATAAACCTGAAGGAAGTCGTTGATTATCTTAAGTACGATATCTAGTCACATCTACCAGTGAATGAATTCGCCGAAAAGAGTCTCTTCGCTGAACGCCTTCTTTTATATGACTGAATGGTGATTTTCAAGTTACATCTACCAACCTTTCCCGGCTTCTGCAAGTGAAAGGAACAGGCCTCACCCTTCCAAGTCCATCACTTGCTACAAATTGATAATGATCATCTGCTATTTTACTGATGAGAACAGTTTTACATTCTTACAAGTTTACTTACTCCATATTGTCGCTTTCGTAGATGCGAACAATCCCCATTACTTAAATAAACTTTCGGCATAGATCAATCACATCATGGCAAGCTAAAACGGTTTTCGAGTTGAGACTGAGTTAACAGAATCTTAGATTAGCTAAGTCTGCTTCCTCGCATACAACAGTATTCCTTCTAGCGAATGGCTTCAAGGCAATGACTTCGTCTCCTGGTAATTTAAAACTGTATGTCTCGGCTGAGATAAACGTCTGGGTGCATGGAGTTTCAAATGATGTACTTTGACATCCCTCAGGTGTGTGACAAGCACTTATCCGGGTGTCATAGATAACATTTTCGCACCCAAAACTACTTTAATCCCGCTCGCAAAGGCAATTTACTCTACGTCGTTCTAGTCCGTGTCTCTAGTAACATGGTCACAGGCTAAAATGCAGCCAAATTGAGCGGACTCATATTTTAATAGTCCACATCTATAAAGTAAACGGGTTGAAGCAACTCTGTATAAAGTGTAGCGCTTTAAGAATTAGTTGCTTCTGAGATTCAGCCAAAACAGGGTGCTGAAGTCAGGTGAGTAAATCTTAACTGTGTTACTATTCTTTTTATTAATGCACTCGATGAATGGATATAAAATTACATCTCGCAGGCAGTAAGGTGCAAGAAACCAGTAAAACTGATGTGTTTAACAGTGGATAAATGTACCCAGACGGAAAATTTTTTCGTTAACATGGGGATAATCGGTATAAATATGGTTTAGGGGAAAAAGTGTGGTCCAACGTCAAAAACTTGAGAAAGTGATAATATTTGGCTTAACTATCATGAAATTTCACAAAATTCAGCGGAGAAAAGGGTACGAATACTGGAATAGTGAAAGAATGTTAGGAATGAAGTTGTATCTAAAGAATTATTGCACGATTGTTTCTTTAATTAAAAGTTTCATTGAAAACACCACAAACCTCCGATCTTCAAGGGTGGGGATAGGCAAAATGCCACTAGTTATAGACCAGTAGTCCTACTCCCAGTGGTATCAAAAGTACTGGAAAGTATTATTGACGATCACATCAGGGATTACCTCGATATGTCTAATATATACGCCATGAAGCCCTACACGGATTCAGGAAAGGCAGATCCTGTGTAACAAACCTACTGTCAGCTTGGGACGATTGGACATCATGCTGGGATATGAATGTTCCAGTCCATTTAGTCTTCCTAGACTTTGAGAAGGCATTTGACACAGTTCACCAGGACCTTCTCCTACACAAAATAAGCGAGGCAGGTATAGGTAAGTCACTTCTGTCATGGTTAAAGGACTACCTAGCCGAAAGGCAATTTTGCACTAAGATCAATCGAGTCCGATCATTTTGGCACAGCTCGTCATCAAGAGTGTCGCGTGATTCTATCCTAGGACCACTGATATTTTGATTTTTGTCAATGATCTACCATGCCGTCTAAGCTGCCTGACTCTTCTATACGCTGACGACGTAAAGATATGGAGGGCGATGAAGTGTTCGGAGGACTCAGATAGGCTGCGGGCAGATCTAAGGCTTCTGGAAGACTGGGCGGTGGCCAATGGCATAACTTTAAACCTGAAAAAGTGAAAGGTAGTGAAATTACGCACCTGTAGACTGCAGAATGCAAGTTACACCCTGTGAAATGAAAGCCTGTCCTGCACAACGTCGGAACGCGACTTAGGTCTAGTTCTAACGGAGAAAATGGACACAAGCGCAAATTACATGGGGGATGTAGCGAGGGCCTATGCGGTCATACACTTTACACATAGACAGGTGCACTCACTCTTGAGCTATTTCTAAGGTTGTACAAAACATACGTCAGACCACACCTTGAAGTGCATAATATTATTGGACCCTCACTGCTTGGAAGAGACGCCAACCCCTTGGAAAGAGTCCAAAGACGGGCAACAAAAGGAGTGGTTTGTCTCCGAAACATACTTAGCTACCGTCGACCTAGGAGGGACTTAATTACTGCCGACAAAACAACAAATGACCAGAATCACCCGAGCAAAGGTGTTCTGCCATTGAGTAGGTACAGGCTCCCTCGTGGGAATCCCAGAAGTATAGCTCACCAGTGGGCAAGGACCCAGATGCGCTCCCATTTCTTTTCACTGCGGGTTTGCTGTCCCTGGAATTCCTTACCGGCAGATGTAGCTATGGCACCACCTGTGGAAACCTTTAAGCTGAGGCTGGACAACCATGCAGCGACACAAGGGCTGCGTCCAAATGGCCTATCCCCTTAAAACCCCATTCACCATTCTGGGGTAGACAACTAAGTTCGTCGTTTTACTACTTTACATTCTCTACCATCTTACTCTCCTGACAACTCTAGCTACACTTATTATTAATAATACCGATATATATATACATATATATGTAACAACAGAAGACAAGGGCCAGGCAACAGATCGTTTATTACGAAAAATCAACACGTATTTATAGATTTTTATGTACATTATTGTAGGTCAATGTTAGTAGAAAATACAGTCTGTTGATTGGTTGTTTCTCACACAAAGTTAACCTTGCATCTCTTGTGGCTGTGTCAGCTCATCTATATGTTAACTGTAACCGCCTGTCCACCTTGACCTTTGACCTCAATTACTGTCAACCAATTTGGCCAGAAACCATCTCTCACCACAACATGACTAATATTTGATACATAAACATTGACCTCAATTACTGTCCACCACTTGGCTAGTAGACCGCTCTCACCACACTCGTCCCCCCGTCAAATAGTTTGGACTGAAGTCGGCTCGGTCTTCTCGGTTCTTGGGGCTTCGCTCTGTTGTCTTGCTGTCTGGAATCTCGGCGCTTGCGGATGTCCACTTGTTTAACGGTGTTTACCATTGCGATTGTGTCTGCGTAACCCCACCTCAACGTGACCATATATGGTCCTTCCCACTTTGGAAACTGTTTGCCTGACCCTGTCGCACATTCGTAGGTATTTCGCCTCACACTTCCATATGCTGCTTTCTCCCGACCTCCCAGCAGCGTCCCAAGTAGCAGCCTTATCGCTGACAGATCTTGAACGCCACTCAACTGCGAATAAGCCTCAAAGTCCTGCCCGAAGATCCATATGTCTTCATCAAAAACTGCAGGGCATAGGCTTTCCATTTGTCGGTAGGCAGCGACACCAAATGTAACAACAGAAGACAAGGGCCAGGCAACAGATCGTTTATTACGAAAAATCAACACGTATTTATAGATTTTTATGTACATTATTGTAGGTCAATGTTAGTAGAAAATACAGTCTGTTGATTGGTTGTTTCTCACACAAAGTTAACCTTGCATCTCTTGTGGCTGTGTCAGCTCATCTATATGTTAACTGTAACCGCCTGTCCACCTTGACCTTTGACCTCAATTACTGTCAACCAATTTGGCCAGAAACCATCTCTCACCACAACATGACTAATATTTGATACATAAACATTGACCTCAATTACTGTCCACCACTTGGCTAGTAGACCGCTCTCACCACATATATATCAACTCCAGATTTAATCAGCTGTCTGTTTTTACGTTTTATTTATTTTTCTGTCTGTTATTCTGAATAACTTCACTAATTATATCTATTATTATTATCTCTTTTCTTTTGTTGACTATACCGGAGGACTAACTGACGAAAGGATCAAATCCATTCACAGTAGTAACAGTCTTAACACACCTCATACCACAAACCACATATAGTTAATCCCAGCACTACTCCTTTTAGAGTCGACCAAAGATACGACGGTCGAGTAGTGGGACGAACTACGTAGAAGTTTACCGAAGATCAGGAACCTATTCCTCACAATCAAGAGGCTAGCACAAAGAAATCTAATTGTTTTATACTAGCTCGTAAAAACGATATTGGATATTGGAACCATCACGGTAATTTGAAAATTTTCGTAACATTCGGTAGTTTGTTCCTTTTCCTACTTTTCCCTACTGCAATATGTGTTAACATTATAATTATCAACACAGGCTTAGTAATTGTATCAAGTAATAGCAAGGAGAGTCTCACTAGATGCCTTGAATGATATTCAGCTTTTGAAATTATTTTAATATGAGAAGTTAATTGGCTGTTACTCTGGTATTTTTTACTTTTGACTAAGTCAGATATAGCAGCATTATTAATAATGTGCAGTGTTACTTCAGAAGGAAAAGCTAGTTGATTAATTGACCAAGTGGAGATTTCAGCACCAGTGGAGTACGACGGAACCAACGGCCTTTAAATGCTCAGTGAGAAAGTCAGTGAAACCTAGTAAATAGTATTGTTATAATGAATAAAATATGTCCAATAAAGTGGTGTGTTATTAAGTAGGGCACTTGGCAAGTTTCAGGTTAGGTTTGGGGAAGATTAAGTTAAGAATATTGAGAGGTTTAGGCTAAGAGCAGGTTAGGGTTAGGTTTATTCAATGAAGGCGACATTAGGGTTGTTTCAAGTTAGATTAGATTTCCAATATCCAATATCCTGATTACGAGCTAGTATAAACCAGTGATTTCTTTGAGCTCGCTTCTTGATAGTAAGGTAGAGGTTCCAGATCTTCGGTGAACTTATGCGTAGTAAATCCCGCCACTCGACTGCTTTAGCTCTGGTGAGTGGTGTGAGGATTGGTCAGGATTGTGGTTTGTAGTGTGCAGTATGTTAGGACTCTGCTGCTGCCGTGAATGGAGTTTAACCTAACACCCGTTGGTCATTCGGTGTAGTCATAAAAGTAGAATAGTAATAATAATAATAGGTTGTAGTGTAGATAATATAGGTGACCAAAGAAAAGATAGAGTAGTCGGTACAATGAGAGAAGACAGGACGGGTCGTGGGGATTTAGCCTGTATACTTATCCATTGACAGTGTGGTTTCAAATTTTAAGAGGATAAGCCATTGAGACACAAACCATGCATTTCTGCATGATTGTCCAGCTTCCGTTTAAAAGTCTCCACAGATGGCGCTGTAGTTACGGCCGCCGGTAAAGCGTTCCAGAGACGGCAAACTCGAAGCGAGAAGAAATGTGAACGCACTCGAGTCTTTGGTCTCTGGTGTGCTATCCTTAGCGGGTTACCTCGTGGAAGCCTATAATCACTTAATGGCAGGATGCTTTTATTAGGGTGGGCCTGGTCATTTAAGATCTTATAGACGGTGATGAGGTCTCCCCTATGACTACGGTAACTAAGTGTGAAAAGACTTAATTTCTTCAGTCTTTCCTCATATGATTTGTTGCGGAGGCCGATCACCCATTTTGTCGCTCGTCTCTGGACACTTTCTAGAATGTTAGCATCCCTTTTGAGTAGCGGAGGAGCAATAGTATTATGCACCTCAAGGAGTGGCCGCACGTATGTCGTATACAACCTTAGGAATATTTTCAAGTTACAGTTAGGTTAAGGAAAGGTTAGGGTTAGATGACGTAGATGATTACAAGCATAGAATCCCAAGCTCGCTGTGATGCTGAATTAAATCTCGCTAATTCTGAACTAACTCCGACATTCTATAACGAGCGAATTCTGAAGCTTTTCTGAAGTAGTTTGATTATGCGCAGGAACTAAAACTCAGTGCTGTTTTGCAGCATGACTGGCACTAATTCAGCACCCTGTTCTTTTTCTAGGCATTTTAACAAGTAGATCAGAACCTACTGGGTTTGTTATTCAGCGTTGTTTCAGCCCAGATTCAGCACTGACTGGCATTACTTCAGAATAAAAAGCCTTAATCCAACGTATGGTGGCAGTTTTTCACCTTTATTTCACCACCAAAGGCATTATTCCAGCTTCAAATCCCACCTTTAAGGTTTTGTCGCATTAATTAAGCGTCCAGTGCTCTTTTAAAGAACAACCAGTGTTATTTCAGTACATGGTGGGTTCATTTTAGGTAGATAGAATATTCAGTTACCATAAAAGGCATTTTCGACGCATAGGTTAAAATTACTTTAAGATTATTGTAAGGTAGGGATGAGGTTAAATCACTCTGTTGATACTCCAAAATGGAGGTATTTTTGTCACATGTTAGAGAAGGATATCCTGTGTAACAGTTTCATGCCTTTAAATGAATTATTTACAGGAATATATGTATTTTTTATATAAAGATTGCCCTTATGATGTGGTTGCGTTCAAAGCAAATTGTCCGTTAATGCTTACTGGTGCCTAAAGTTTAACTTTTCCGGTGGATAAATAGCTAGTTGTGGTCTAACCAGGACGTGTTGGTAATAGATTGAGTGTTAGTCTGGGCCATGTTGAAAGGTGTAGCTACCTGGCTTCGGTTCTTGAGGTATTTAGAATCAATGATTGATGACTTGGTGATATAGCTAAAAGTTGTTCATCGTGACAAAGATCCAGATTTATTTCTTGACATCTCCGAAATTCTGAAAGTTTGTCTTCAGTCAGTTATTTTCTCTCCCGTACGCTGTCGTTTATTTTAGCTGAATGACACCACTCTACTGTCGTGTGCTCTGCCTGAGTATAGTAACTCGAAATAACGTACGTCTAGATAAAGTTTGGCTTTATTAGATTAAGTCAAAAAGCAATTCAGATAACAGGAACGAAATAAGCGGTAATCTGAGATAGAACATTTAGGTGTAGGGATTAAATTATAACGAATCGTGTTCTCAAGTATCAAACTTGGTTCCTAACATCTCGAAGTTCTCAAATGGGAAATGGAATCATTGTTTCATTGCACAGCTTAGGCCAACAACTTTATGCTTTCACCTTTTTTTATTGTCCTCATACAAGCCATCTGTAGCCAGTTGGATTTCCACACAGTGTAGGATTATATTTGGACCAATCAATAATTGTTCTTCAATTACTTTTCTTAAACACTTAAGTCGCACCACTAAGCTGTTGTGCTCGGCTTTATTTCAGATTAAAGGCAGCCTTCTTAACTTTTTATCTGGTGCTGGAGGACTAAATTCCTTGTTTTATTCAAACACAGTGATGAGCAAGTGTAGTACACATGTGAATTTTAAAATGTTTATCGAGGTATTCTGTACATTGGTCCAGCCATTCGTCTTGAAAATATATTTAAGTTCAATCTTCCTCGAAGGTTATCTCTGGCTCTGTAGTCCTTTTAATGATCAGACCAATTCTTGTAAACATATCACAAATGTTGCTTATTACTAGTCTCTTAACTATGAGCACCGCGTATTTCAGTGTGCTGTGTCAACTAGAGTAGGTTTATAATGAAATGAAAAAGAAATTAGTGCTGATCATCTCATCAAGTTTGGTCACGAAACATCCACGGTCTAATGTTAGAGACCGGAGAATCTCCATCCTCATTATGAGCTACAATCCTCTACTGTTACAGAAAGAATAGTGCCAAACTAAGATACGGCACTGATCTGAGATGTTACTGTCTGTTGATGTAAACTGTATACAACGTCTAGTTGAGTTCTATGATTACAAAGCTCTTAGTGACATAGCGTAAAATCGATCTTCTTGGCCTAACTTCACTAGTATATACTTTTCCCTCATTCCGGATGTTGTATCATACCTACGTATTTGTTTTACTATCTCGTCTCTTGACTTCTGTGGTTTTTTTCAGCATATAAAGCTTTTTCTTTTTTATATCGTCTTTCATGCTTCTCTCTACTGAATGTGCCTGTGAAGTACTGTATACAGTTACACATTGACGTCAGCTATGTACGCCACACAATAAATGAACTTGATGATTTAGCGTAAAAAGCTGTCAATTGTCTTGATAAGTTGCATTCCAACTTCATAATGTATAATAGGCTATTTGAGAAACTTTTAGTCTTGGGTCTCTGATCACTTGTGTTTGCTGTTTTATTGGCTTGTTATTTCAAAATATCCAATGAGATAACATTACATGTAAAAGAAAGTTAAATGAAGCTGTTAATTCCTATGACGGTTGCAAAATTGATGATAGTGATATAAAAGTCAAGTCTGAAGTTAATTATCTTAGATTAATTCTTTCTTCTGATCTATCCTGGTCTCCCCATGTCTTAGCTATTTCTAAAAGAATATTTCGTCTGACTTTTTACATTAAGAAGTTAAGGCACTCAGGCATAACTCAACCCCTCCTCTTATAGTTTGTCAACTCGGGAATCTTACGTATTTTTCTTTCCTGGATTGCTTAGAAAAGACTATGACATACTTCGCAGAACTCTGAAGACTGTCACTAGGAAGAGTGATATCCCAATGGGCCATATCGTTGAAATCATCATTGATAGGCACTTGGTTGCATGCAACAAATTTGGTGGGGGAATTTTGTCAAACTTTACCTGCAGCTTTCGCCTTGTGTCTCAGGTAAAACAAGAAGTCATTTCAAAAGACTATGTACATGCACGTATTAGTATAAAACACCTACGATACTACATTTGGCGCGTATTTTATGCAATGAAAACAGTGTCAGGGAAGAACTAACTAACCTTCTTTGCACTGGTGAATAATTTTCTATAATTGGTTTGTAAGGGTTAGTTTTGTTTTTTACGAGTTGATCACGGATTGATATCAGTTAGAGAACCATTGAAAACCAGAGAGTACTGGACAGTGAGTGCGTACTGCCGATGATTCCCAAGCTAGGATGAAACAGCTGTGGTTCTCTAACTGATATCAATCCGTGGTCAACACGTAAAAACTAGTAAATAAACCATTCTCCCCATCTTCATTCCATCAAACTTTATTATTATTATTCTTATGTTTATAATCCTCTCTCGAATATTTTTGACCTTAACTGTGGACAAATTCCTTTGGTTAATTTATATTTTAAGTAATTCAGATGCAATATTGTGACAAATGCTGAAAATTCCACGCTGTATTATAAGTACTGCTTTTGGAATAAAGTAGATTATTATTATTATTATTAGACTTTAATGACACCAATTTATCCTGCTTGACTTGTTCTTCCTGCTTTAATCATAATAGCAGCGTGTTTCACAGAACTCATCACACAGCGTATCAGCATCCACCTCATTACCCGCAGCTTTCACCATATGTCTCCTCAGATAAAAACAAGAAGTCATTTCAAAAGACTTTATGCACATACGTCTAAGTATAATAATTCCACAAAACCATATATGGCACGTATTTTATGTGGTGAAAATAGTGTCAGGGACAAATTAACTAACCTTCTTACCACTAGTAAATAAGCCATTTCCTCCATCCTTATTCCAAAAAGCTTTCTTATTATTGTCCTTTTATATTTATAATCCTCTCGATTTCTCGTTTTTACTTATTTATTTTTTCATAAGTGTAAACATTTGAGCTCTGTAATAACTGTTATTTTTTGTCTTTCCCCTCATCATGCTATATCAACAGAACATTAGATTCAATAATCTATAACATGCTAAAATTTCCAAACTGAATGGACAATATGGTTTGAAACAAACCCACTGTTATTATTATTGTTATTTTTATTATTCTGATTTTGTACTTTGAATATTTTTGACTTTTTACCGTAAATGTGGACAAATTCCTGTGGTTAATTTTATTTATATTTTGAGTAAATCAGATGCAATAGTGTGACAAATGCTAAAAATTCCATTCTGTATTATAAGTACTTTTTTGGAATCAAGTAGATTATTACTATTATTATGTCACAATACGCTTACCATAAAAGTTGTATGCCACTTTTTGCGAGATTAATTACTACATATTCTGTACTATATGGTATGTTTAGACCTTGATTAATATTCAGAAGTTTGATGATCAGTCTGCAAGTTTAGAGGTCAAAAAAGACACTTTGGCAGCGTTTTTATTTTGTTTTATCAGGTAAAGGGAATCATGATAACTTTCGAAATTCCCACACAGTGCATTCTGTTGTACATATATTTCAATCGCATATATAAACATTAGTAAACTTATGTACATGGATTCGATTGTATACCTGTTAGGAATGAAATCACCGGAAAGATATCTTTACTGAGCTTCTTTTTTCTCCCTTAGGTCCTGATAGTGCGTCGGTGGCTCATCCGTAGAATGCTCGGCAACCACGCCAAATGTGGTTCGGGGTTCGATCCCCGGCCCACGCACTTGCTAAGACTGGTAAAGATAGAAGGTTGGGCATTAGGCTAGCAACCTCATCCCGTAAAAATAAATACCACTGCTAGAGAAACTTCAAGCCTCTAGCCTGAAGTCCCCTATGTTCCACTGGAAACGTAAGGGAATAGAAAAATGCCGTGATAGGTATCTTGTACGATATTCCAATTAGTTTCTCTCTAATAACCATCAATCTGTTTTCCCTTTAGATTTAAGCTATGGCTGATCGTAATCGTTTTGAAATTTTGGAAGAAAACATTGAATGTATCATTGATCATTGCAGAGAGGCGGGTATTGTTGTGTGTGATTACCAACCAAGTGTTTCATTTCAAAAGAAGATAAACGATTTAGTTTATAAGTTACAGGTACTTTCACCTTTTTTATTTCTTTTCTAATGTGTTGCAAAAGTTGTGAATAGAATCTCCTACAGACTAATTTTATTTTATGAAATGAACTATTGTTCAGATTTTTGGTTAAGTCATTGAATAAAATTCTCTAAGGAATACTTGAAAAGGACTAGACACGTATGTTATTGACTGGCTGGCTGGTTTTAACATAGAACTTTGCACCAATGTGCAGCAGTTCAAGTCGCTACACTCCCTCTATGCAGCACACAAAGCAAGAGAAGAAATGCGAAATAGAGACAGTAAACAGAGATATGAGGCAAACAGAATAGTAATATCGAAGAACAATATAGTTTTATTGGGTATTATAAGTCACAAGGAGTGGATGCATCTGCGCCAGCCACTGACAACGATTTTGAGCCATATCACCGATAATTGTCTCCAGCCATTGGTGTTTACCGTCCCCAGGAACCCAACCAGGAAGTTTACATCTTCTTAGGTGGCTTAAACTAACAGTTGTGGATTTCATTGACTGATGCCGCCATGTTTTGGTCTGACCACCACTGGCTCTTTTCCAACCTAACCCTATGTCAGCTAACATTGCCCGCCGAGGAAGGCGATGGCTAGGCATACGTAACACATGTCCTAACCATCTCAATCAACATAGATACACAGCCTTGACTATTGATTCCCCCCCTCTCCTACCTAACACTCGACCGATGCCTAACCTCAGTATTGTTCACCTTATCATAACACCACCTAACAAGAGAGATAAAGCGCAGACACCTATGATCAAAGACAGCTAACCTTTTCATGTTTTCCACCCTCAATGGCCAGGTCTCACAGCCATAAAGGAGGACGGAGCGGACTGTTGAGTAGTACACACGCCCTTTGGTTGACAGTCAGCAGGATATCACGTCTATGCCAGAGACGGCGTAAACTGGTATATGCGAAATTAGCTTTCTGTATCCGTGCTGAGATTTCGTCAATGATCAACCCGTTGATGGCTGATGCAACTTCCCAAATAAGTGAAGTGGTCAACACGCTCTACCGCTTCACTCTCTATTTCTAAGCTGGGAGTTAATGTAGTCCAGTTGAGTCCTGTGGCATCATCTTATATTTGGCGGGAGCTAATCGCATGCCAAACATTGGCAGATTGCAACTCAAGGTGTTCAGAAGACTCTGCTCTATTTTGTCAGCGTCTTCACCTAGAAGGTCTGTATCATCTGCTCACTTCACGGTACTGTTAGAAAGGGAAGGAAGAAGGAAGTGATGGCATGTTTGCCATTAATTGTGTGATCCATGACCATATCTGATAACGTTTCAAGCCACCTATTCGAATTATCTTTCGGCCGCCAGTTAGGGAGTCGCTATCTGCCAGCTGATGCTTACCTAACATATATACCCTTCATTCCATGGAGCCACGTCATAGACTGGCCACCTCTGCTCTTTTCCCATCCAGTTCCAGGGCTAATGGACAGCAACCGGTACGGAAACCTTTAGGATGATATTTGTAGCACATATCCAAGCCACCTAAGGCTATGTTTCAAGATGACCACACTCAACGAATAGTGATCTCCACTGTATTCAAACACTTACACGATGACACCATCAGACTTAACCAATCCTATGGTGACGGCGATGATTGAATACGCAGAGCTGCTGGATATCCTCAAACGTGAGAGGCCAGGTTTCGCAGACGTAGAACGCAAGACTGTGTGCACTGGAGCATTGTAAACCTGACCTTTGATGGCTAGGCGGACGTAGTAACGGCGTCTGAAGTAGCACAAATTGACGTATGCCAGTTTATCGGGATTTCAGATAATCATGTTTGTAGTGTGAACATTGTTTGTTTTTATATATGTAGTGACCGTTTTTTTATTAATTGTGTAAACTCTTAACGTCACAAAGGTTTATACAACCTCAGTAAACTGTTTGCTTCTTTTTTCTGAAGGATGTCGATCGAATGCAAGTGGAAATGCAAGATGTGCACGTCCCAATCGAGTTATTTTCTAAAATCGATTCTGGTCAAAATCCTCAACTCTATACACGAGAGTGTATGGAACAAGCATTAGCTAAGAATGAAGCAGTTCGTGGAAAGTTGGACAGTCTTCGTCGTTTCCGAGCTCTACTTATGTATGAATTATGTCGTACTTTTCCAAATGAAATGGCTAAATATCGTGCTGTACGTGGTGATCCTGATGCGCCACCTGTAGTCGTTGGGCCTACAATGTCCAGCAACACGCAGTCAAATGGATCGGGTACAGAAACTGGTCCCGAGTCAGTCCCACTTCGGTAGCATTATTCGGATGTGAGAGCAATATATATATATATTTTTTATTTTGGAACAAAACAAGAAGACATCTTCATATTTTCCTCTAATGTACATAACTTTGTATATAAAAAAAATTTTAACCAATGACCGTGAATTTTTGTGGGTCAAAAATAATAAGCGTTAAGTGGTGTAAATATGTTAGTAATAAAAGATGATTATGGTGATAATAACAATAATTTACTTTATTCCAAAACAGTGCTTATGAGAGATATACAGTGTGGGATTCTCAACATTTGATATGCTACTGCTTCTCATTTACCCAACAACAACAAAAAGATTTTATTACAGGATTTCGTCATGAGCTGGCATTGGTTACAGAACCACTCGAAAACCTGGGATTACTGAACAGTTGTTTCATCCTAGTTTGGTACTCTTCATCAGTACACACCCACCGCCAGTGTTCGAACCCAGGACCTTCTGGTTACCAGGCGAGCTTGTAGACCGTTGAGCCACTGGGACCCGATCCAATGGTCAGCCTATGAATTCCAAATTCCGCCAATTCACGACATAGCGCGACCGCTAGCCAATGTCTTCCGTGGCGAGTATTTGTCCTCACACCCGACCTGCTGCATCCTAAGTACCAACACTTGAGCAAGATTTTATTTCGATAAATCACACGGTGATGACCACGTTTCGAGCACAATTTATTACTGCAGCTCATAATCATATCAAGGCATTACTCAAATAACTTTCTTGCTTCATTTATATACATGAGTAAAAATTGATGATTAGACATTTGAATAAAATCAATATAAGATAATGTACATTCGGAAATAATATTAGTGTTATCAATAAAATACAATCAGATGGGAAATAAAACAAGTGTTTTAGTGAAAATGAGTAACTTGTTAGAATGTTGTGATGTGCTTTAGTTGAAATAGAATTTTGAGATTATTTATTATCCTCCTCTGATTTGACTGACTGGTGGTAATAATATCTTCCATACATATCTCTGGTATTTGCATTGAGCCATTTCTGTCACATATGTTGGGTGTAGATTATTATATGAACCAGGATTCAGTAATCGATCTCTCTCCATCTCCACCTAACTATATTACTTTCTAGAATTTTAACCCTCTCCCACTGTATTGTGTGATTGTGTGTTAATGTATGCAGTGCAATCGCTGAACTTTTTTCTAAATTACTTATCTTCGCCGGATCAATCATATGTTCTGACAGTTTAACTACCCGCGAACTACTAGTTTGACCGACCTATATAGTTGACCTTACTCACAGTCATTGCAAGATATTTTGTAAATTATATTATTTTGTCTAATTGGGTCAACCTACAGGTTCCTTTAGCCTACAGAATTTGTCCTACCTGAGTGAGCCTGTAGGTTTAAATGCCACTCTAATTCCTGCTTTATTAAGACTCCTACGTAGGGTCTCAGATGTCCCCTCTTTATATGGTAAAACTACTGTAGATGTCTTATATTCTTTCTCATTTATGTTATCATTACTAGTTTCACAATTATTTTTTATTGTTTTTCACCTTTTCTTATTTTCCTAATGAATTTTATAGGATAGTTAGTTATTGAACACCAACCAGTTATTCTTCTATCTGTTTCATTTCATCGTTTAAGTTTTTTGTTGTACTATTTAGTGCTGTTAGTGCTCGTTTTTTTAGACACTTAACAACTAAGCATGCCTTCACAGACAGTAATGTATATATAAAACTGTAGAGCCTGATGATGAAGTTATCGAAAAGAGTATTCTTTGTTCAATAACCATTCTTTTGAAAATGTCTAATCATCATCAATTTTTACTCATGTATATAAATGAAGGAAGAAAGTTGTGTGAGTGAGTACCTTGATATGATTATGAGCATGATGCATGTACATGATTCAATGGAAATGTCTTATCGAAGCCCTGAGTTCTATTCGGGACCCAACAGAACCATATCAACTAATAATAAAAAACATATAGGGAAATATAGATTTACCTAATTCTTGTGCAGAAAAATGGCTGTGTGGTCAACTACATAGGTCAAACTAATGGGTCGGGGGTAGTCAGGTTGTCGGAACATAAGAATTCAGCGAAGTGTAGAATGATTGATCCCACGAAGATGAGTAATTTAGAAAAAGCTCAGCAATCGCACTGCATGCATTAACACACAATACAGTGGGAGAGGGTTAAAATTCTAGAAAGTAATATAGTTAGGTGGAGATGGAGAGAGATCGATTACTGAATCCTGGTTCATATAATAATCTACACCCAACATATGTGACAGAAATGGCTCAATGCAAATACCAGAGATATATATGGAAGATATTATTACCACCAGTCAGTCAAATCAGAGGAGGATAATAAATAATGTTAAAATGTATTCAATTCAATTCACATTATGACATTCTAACAAGTTATTTATTTATTTTACTATAAAAGCATCGTATTTCCCATCTTATTGTATTTTATTGATAACACTAATATTGTTATTTCTGAATATACTTTATGCCTAATGAATTTTACTCAAGTATATGAATGAAGCGAGAAGGTTGTGTGAGTAATGCCTTGATATAATGATTAAGAGTGGCAATAATTTGTGTTCAAAACGTGGTCATCAGTTAATATTACTGTATAACACCAATGTGTGATGATTTATCAAAATAAAATCTTATCCATAATGGAGTTATACTCTACCACAGTGACCAAGTTTTATACTTATATCAATAAGAATAAAAAGGTATTGCAGAGTATAAGTAAACAAATTTGATAACAGCAGCTGTTTTCCTATTTGCAGTGATACTGGTGTCAAGAAAGTACAGAAAATGCGAAAAGATGATAATATTAGCTAAAATTATAAGACAATTGAAATAGTGTCACTATAGATTACAAATAGGAGAGAATAAAAGAGCGATTTATTTTGCTAACTACTTAGTAAGTTGTAGGTTTCACGCTTAACTCTATCAATTTCACATAGAATTCCGGCTGTCCAAATCGGGTGTCGTTGAGTTTTTGTACCTGATTGTTCGAGCATATAATCTTTTATAATGACATGTAGTCCTACCTGATGTAATGCGAGGGGAGAGATGTGAATAGAGAGGCTATTGAGAGTCAGAAAATATGAATTTGGACCATTTCTCACATGAGTTCAGACGTCTGTCGACTACAGTGGTAACGAGCTCACCAAGTGGCACACCACTTGCCCTATTGACAAATTTAAATACCCTTCGCAATATGAAATTGTCCTTTATGATTAGCCAAGGAAAGACTTAGGGGGGAGGAGCAGTTAAGTACAACAGGTAAGATGCAAAAGTTAAAGTGTAAAATTAGCGGTTGAGGGATTTCTGATTGTCTTAACTTCATAATGTAGTAGGTTAGGTGGAACGGCTTCTTTGAAATCGACAAGATATGGGATGACGGAGAAAGGTCAGAGAATAAACCTGTTCCAAGGTATTTTATGCAAGACTTAGTTTCTGTTTCACTGCCCTGTATCCCACAAGCATCATACGAACAAACCAGTTCGTGTAGATCACGTTTATACCTAAAGGTGTAGTTAACAGCTTGACATTTAGATGGAAAGAGACAAGATAACAAGTGATTGACGCAGGTGGTGATAAGAATAGTGGAGATAGTATGGCAGTGTAAAACATTCAGTAGTTAATGTATGTGTAAAACTTGGGCACTAGAGTAGTAAGTAATTCCATAATAGTTTGTTTATGAGACATATCTCACAGTCAGTGAAACAGTAATGTTATTTACTGAATGACAAAGTTTCGAACACAATTTATTACTGTTCATAATCATATCGATTATAATAACACAACTTCGATACTTGAGTTTCCTAGTTTTCTTTGTTCTCTCCTATTCGTCGTCGTTGGGGTAGTAGAATTTCCCAAATATCTGGCTGGACAGGTGTTGGATCATTCCTATTACATGTGTTTGCAGTTTATTCGATAAACAAAGCTTCCGTTATCAATGTTTCCCTTCACCCTATTACCTTAGATTTTGAAAATGTCATCTTATCCCATCCCATCCTATTGTATGGTTGTGTGTAATTGCATTTATTGAGTGCTATAGCTGAACTATTCTCTAGATTTCTTATCTTATTCGGGTCAACTAATCTGGATTTTGCTAAGTTTTTATGTTCAGCTAGTCTGACTGCTCCTGTTCCAATAGTTTGACCTGAGTTTTTGATCTGACAATCATTCCAGCGGGGTATTAGATAAACTAAACTGTTTTGTTTAATTGGCCCCACAGGATTGATCTTTTAATCGACAAAGCTGGGTGTGAATACCAGCCACTTTTATTCTTGTCTGCCTTGTTAAGAATTCTGCGTAAGGTGGTTTCCGAGGTTCCTTTTTTGTATGGAATTACTACTGATGATTTAGATTCTTTATTGTTGGTGTTGTCTTGCGTATGTTTGACATGCATGTCGTCATTAATATTACTATTATTATTACTACTACTACCATTATTTATTTTATTTTTACATTTCCCTACATATTTCCTGACTAATTTATCCGGGTAATTATTAAGTTTCAAGACTTCTCTTATATGCCTCATTTCCTGTCTTAGATTTTCCTTGGTACTACTTAGTTTTTGTGCTCTATTATTTAAATCGGCCTGTGATGCCAATAAAAAACAAAACAATATAGTTTACCTAATACCATACAATAGGATAGGATAAGATGGCAGTTTTAAAATCTAATGTAACAGGGTGGTGAGTGGGGAAGATTGATAACGGAAGCTTTGTTTATCGAATAAACTGCAAACACATGTAATAGGAGCGATTCAACACCTGTCCACCCATATATCTGGAAAATTCTACTGTGCCAACGACGAAAAATAGGAGAGAACAAAGAAAACTATAAACCTGAAGTTTCGAAGTTGTGTGATTATAATTGATGAAATGATTATCAACAGCAATTAATTGTGTTCGAAACTTTGTCACCCAATAAATAATACTGTTTCACTGACTGTGTGGTACATCTAATAAACAAACTAATATGGAATTCAGTAATTAAATTAGGTAATGCCAAAGATGAAGTGGATAAATAATCGGAGTTTACCTAAAAGTTATAAAATTACGATAGAATTGAAGAATAAGAAAGGATGTGAAGTCTTAAATAGTTCAGCAGATTTACTTAAACCAAAGGAAAGGCAAGGGTAGAACAAACTTCTAGGATTATTCTGTCGAATTTCC